GCGTAGGTACGTCTCTCTCTCTCTCTCTCTCTCTCTCTCTCTCTCTCTCATGCATGTACACACAAACGCGCACACAGAAACACGCATGCACGTGCTCATGTATATCTAACACGTATCATTGATGGTTTGGGCTGAAGGTATGAGATCAAGTTTTTGGTGGATGGAGAATGGCATCTGTCTCCTGAGTTTCCGACTACAGGAGAGGGTCTTTTGAAAAACAATTTGCTGATTATGGAATAGCCTCTGGAATCACGAGGTGGGATATTTGTTGCTGAAAATTTTTTAATTTTTTTTCTTTTTTTCTTTTTTATGCTGTTAATGGGTTACTAGTTTTTATTTTCATTGTGCATATTCATGGACATATATTCCACTGTTGGTTGTACGATTTGGTAGCAAGAAGTTAGTCATACATACATGGCAACCATCTCCTGTTTTAAGTAAGCAGGTCAGAGAAAAATGTTGAATAAAATGGTAGCATAACTCCCATCCATTAGAAAAAACTTCCTTCCTATTCATCTTCAACTTATATATATTAGATTATGGTAAGGGTCCCAGCATTTATAAAAGTATCCAAGACATTTTCAATTGATTAACTTATCATGACAAGCCTCTCCCCATAGCATGAGTACCTCTGGACGAGACTTTCCCTTGATAAAGGGTGAGATTTCTTGGGCTTCAGAAATATAGAGTTGGATTCTGGTCTAAATATGTTGTCATGCTTCTCTCGAATGATTCCTTTTAGGTTACAAGATTTCGTTTATATTTCTTCCCCATCATGTTCCTTAGTCTCCTTCATTTTGATCTTGCATGAACTCAGTTCCATTTCCTTGTGATGGTTGGTCTGTACTTTCTGTGACAACTATCAGTATGAATGTATAATTAGGATGATATGTGGTCAGAAATGATTGCGGCCATAAACTTTATCACCATCCAATTGGTGGATTGACATTGATGGACAGAGGGCACCCATGAGATCATGACATGGCCCGATTCACTGAGTGGTAGGTCTGCCTGTTCATCAGGTGTTTCGACAGGGATAACACAAGACTAGCCATAACTTTTTAATGATTTTACAGTTTCATGTTCACATGGATAATTTGAACAAGGATGTTAAGGAAGAAGGAAGCAAGAGTGATGGAGGACTGAAGAAAAAATGAGAAAGAAATAAAACTTAAAAAGAAGAGGCCTTGTACAAAATTCGGGAAACAAAGAAAAGACGCGTCTGAATTCTGAAATAAAGAATTAAAGAAAAGGGAACAGAAGATGGCTAAGTGTATATGGGGAAAGAATATTGAGTTCAACAAAAGATAGAATAAAACAGAACAAAAAAACATGAATGTTAGGCATGCAAGTTAATGATCACAAAGAAAAGAGAAACGAACCAAAAAGCATGAACAATGAAACTCCCATAAGGGAAATGAGATGGAATGGATGACGCTTCCCCAAAAAAAATATAAGTAACAATAAATAATAATATATATATAAAAAAACAAAGCCAAGTGGAATGCAAACAAGTATATTGTAAAGCTTGAACATATGGCAATCAGAAATGCAAACAAGTGTTTCCTTTAGAGCAAAACAGTTTGGAAGCCAGAATTCCGGAGGATAATTCATCTATGCAAACATACATGTATTTTCATTGCCACACCAACTATAACAACGGCGTTGGACTTGGTCTTCAGTCTCTGCCATTATTGCAACATTCACCCTAATCGCCTTGGAAGCCCACTTTTTGGCTGAAGCATCTGTTTTTCTGAATATATTTTTGGAATAATGTGTAAAGCTTATATGAAGGAGAAAAAAAAGGCAATATGTCCTTAATTTTTCCATGTCAGTGTAATCTTTGGAAAAGGAAAGGTGGGGATAAAAAAATTCCTCCACATCGGAAAATTCTTCAAAACAACTCACATGTTTAATGTAGTTAAATTGCTAGGAGAAAATTCTCTTGGCAGTAGTTCAGACTCACGGTATCCTCCTCCAGTACACAAAGGCCAAGAGGATCATCTGATGGGGCAAGCTCACCGAGGTGTCCCCAGTCTTGAAACCCCCTAAATCCTCGATTTCAATTATTAGAGAACTTTCTTGCAAAATATTTTGAAAATTGAAAAGAAGACAATCGTGTAAGGAGAATAATCCCATTAATAAGTCAAGAGTTCATGTTTTCTTGTGTTTATTGTAGAGGTATCGGCTCTTGCCTAAAAGTCATTATTAAGAATACTAAAAACTTCAATATGAGGGTCCAGGAGAATGTAGGTACCAACACGACAAAACTAAGAAAATTTAATGTTGACAATGAAGCTTCATTAAGAAGCTACGGTAGGCAAGAAATATATAAGAACATCCATCTCTAACATACGTAACTCAGACACAGATCACTCCTAGACGCATATTTTATCGCCATTATCATCATCATCAATCCTTTTCCCAACTATGCTTAGAACAAATGTCATATGATGAAACCTAACTAAATAAAGATGCTTTTGGAGACAATGAACCAAATCCCCAACAGTGTCATTTTTAAGTTAGAACTCACAAGGATTTATTGAACCTGGAAAGAAGGTAAAGTATTCATAAACTTCTCCATCTGCATTATGAAGATCCCTTACCTAAAAAGTCTTTTTAACACCTCTTTAACCATACCAATCACAAAAATTCAGAGTCCATAATGAACTTTCAGATCTTCATGAACACCATAGAGTCTCTCAAAACTTTACAGGGAAAAAAAAAAATCAAAGGCAAAAGCTAAATAGGACGCATAAGCTCAAGCCCATAGATTTATGGGAAAGGTACTTAATGTTGCGACTTTAGAGGTTGTGAGTTTAAACAATGAAGACAGGTTACTGAAAAAAATTACAAAAAGAAGAAAAAAGCTCCTTATTATCAGAAAATATATCTTGTGTTTCAAAAAGCAAAAGCCTCGACCTATATATTTTTCATATATACTCTTATGAGTTCACGTACAATGCACGGCTCAATAGCTTACTTGTTAGGATTACAATGTTATATTTAAGTTCGAATCCTACCACTGAAACTGTCCCCAGAAGCTAAAATATAAGTATTAGAGTGGATATGAATATCATTCACCAATGAGGCGCCTGCTGCTCCTAATAGGTATGCCATTTAACTTGCAAAAATCAGGCTTGTCTGCATGCCACCCCAAACCATGGCGGCTGGACTGACGTGTTAATGGACAAATCGTGTGTCCATTGCCGCTTTGAGATGGCTTTTTACCTGCTTTTACATGTGCATGCACTTAAAGATGCACTGCTATGTGAGTGGAAAGACACAAAATACATATTTTTATCCATCACAAAAAAGCAGTGCATTTCTCATATCAGACTACAATTTGCAACCAAACAAGCTGTCAATCTATACCAAATCAAGGCCTACCCACAATATCTTGTTTAAGTTCCAATTGTAAGGCACATTACAATTCAAGGATGTTTCACTTTTATCATTTTCAGAATGTTCCATGATCCGAAAACCAGTATTTTTATAGAAATGTTAATGCATCGATTCAAGCACTATTCTGCTGATTCACATTCAAAAAGAACAAAATGATTTACTGCATGAGAAGAAATCCTACAACACATTACGATAGTGCTTCCTGAGAAATTAGATCTTTCGGAACAATGAACAATGAATAGTAAGCTGGACACCTCTCTCAAACCTACGTCAGCATCTAGGGAGGAAGCAGGGCTAAGAACCGTACAGAACAAGAAAATGGTACATTAATATTTTCTCAATTAAATGCACAGGTGGGAAAATAATTTTCCATGTCCTTATGAAATTACAGATGCCAATGCCAATATGAAATTACATATGCCAATGCCAGTATTTGATGCACAATGAGCTTGATTTACCCTGGTCATGATGATGTAAAGATTTATAATAAAGTTGTTTCATTCGCTTTCCTCTTTCTTAGGGTACTCTCTTGCTCCAAATATGGTCGAACCAATCCTCACATTCGTACTGCCCATTTCAATCTAGAGAGAACACCAAATCAATAAATTAGTGAAGTTTATGGAAACTACAATGAGGCTTAACAAAATGCCAAATGAATTTATTTACCGCTTGCTCAAAGTCGCCTGACATGCCCATTGACAACTCACACTGAGCCTCTGCTATTCCAAGAGCCTTGCAAACCTCATTTCTACACTCTACCAATGCCTGTCCCTCCAACAGGTAAAATCACCATTGATGTTACCCATATAAACCATGAATAAGTCTAGTAAATATATCCCAAGAAGGAGCCCATAAAAGATATCCTACAAAGGGAACAGTATAAATAAAATGCAAGCAACCAACCAAGCACTCTACTCAAAGATTGCACCTGAAAGTTCTCAGGCTTAGAGGAATAGTCCAACATCCCAATTGTCATCAGCCCAGAAAACTCAAGGTTTGGGCAGCCCAGCTTAACATGTTTCGCAAGTTCTACACAACCTGAGGGTTCAACACCAGATTTTGCTGTGGAGAAACATCATCTTGTTAGATCACCGATGCTCTTACCCAAAAAAAGATCACCAATGCAAGGCCATCACTTCATCTCTTATATAATAATGGAACAACAAGATTTTCAAACAAAACTTACCAAAAAATTTTAAAAAACTTTCATAACAGAACATAAAAAACTGTTCACCCAAAAGATAAAACCTTAACAAACTTCCAGTGGCAGCACTAACCCTAGAAGGTTGGTTTGCAACCATTCCAATGAAGAGAAAATCTAACATGATCCAATGGACTACGGATAAAATGTACACCAATGTAACATGAATATCCATGATCTATGGTGATGGAGACCGCAACCCACTACTGACAAGATAAAACTTCACCATCAGACGGAAGTTCTGGAGTCTGAAATTGGTTACCAAGTACCGCACGCACTGTCATCATCAGCCATTTGACTGGCCAGCCAACAACATTCTCGACAGATTGTAAAGACAGTAAGGTGCTGCACCAGATGCTAGAAAATTTCCCTCCATTTTTGTCAATGACGAGAAATTTTCACATAAAACAGTATTTGCAGGTCCATTCCTCATCACAAATTTGGATCGAAAGATCTCTTCAAAGAATAGATGGAGAACATATTACTCACACTCCTCCCCACTGGTATTGACTTGGAGAAGGATCTTCAAAGGCTTCCTTCCCACACCCGCAACAGCACGATCCAAATAATTTGCCAACTGGAAAGCATATCACATAGAGCAGTCTGGTGTAAATATATTGGAATACCCCAACAAATAAAAGGAAGGTAAGCAGAAAAAGGAACATGCGTAACCTAGAGCTGAGAATTACCAAATCCAATCTCTACCAAGAAGAAAACCGACCAAGTCTACTACAAATATTTAACACTTTTCTCAGTGTATATGAGTGATGTTTTACAATAAACCAAGAAGCACATGGAAACTGTTGTACATCCTTTCAAGGCATGAGTCTCCTTAAAACATAGTCTCAAAAATGCCACTCAAAAGTGACTTGTCAGTATAAAGCAGAACAATGAAAAGAAAACAGGTACTGTAGGTTTTGCAACTGCTATAGAGTATAAAACATCCTTGCAAAAATATGTGCCATGATAAAATGATCAAAACTACCAAACCCAGTCCTTGTAAAGAATTAGGTCTCATCAGAAGAACTGCACAAAAATCTCTATATTGGACACAACTTGACAGTAGTATATTACGTGGCATCAATTTATGCTTTTACATTTACTCTGCAATTTAGATACCCTGCCACTAGAATTTTAGAACACTTTCTGAGAGAGAATTCCTTGCGTGAGTTTGTGTATAGGGAAAAGATTTAGTAACCCCATGGCTCAATACTATAGAAAATCACCATGAGCCCCAAGACTTATAGTTAGGAGGATTTGTTTGACCTCAAAACTTGGTGATCTTTATGCACCTTAGAGATCAATCTAAAAATTTGTTTTGGAGCTTAAAAATTTGGTTCGGAATAAGAGTCCTAAAGGGGTTTAGGCCCTTCAACGGTTAGGACAAGAGGGTATTGGGTCTTATGAAGGTTCCCCCATTGAGATAGAATTGGATAGGAGATCTAATGGAAGTAGAACTAAGGTTAAGAGTTATGAAGAAGGCTTTGGTTAGGTTTAGAAAGGTCTAGGATAGGTTTCAGGGTTTCTCATCATCGTCAAAGCTTTTTTCCAATTAATTGAGGTGAGTTACTCGAATCCTGATCCGTCATTCTGCTCTATTAAGGGTCATACCCTAAATGAGGCCATAGTCCCTACATCTCTTCTCACTACTTCCAACCAAATCCTTTTAGGCTTACCCCTTGCCTTTTTTTAATCATCCACATGAACTAGCTTACACCTCCTAACAGGTATTGGTGTTGTATTGGTTTTACGCCACACATAGCCAGCCCACCTAAGTAGACTTTCTTTCATCTTATAGCCTATTGGTGCCACACCTACCGAATGTGCTCATTTCGAATTCTACCACTTCTTATCTTGCCTCTCATCCATCTCAACATCATCATCTATGGGTATGTTGTTTCTTTACCACCCAACATTCTGCTCCATAGAGCAAAGCTGGTCTCACAACTGTTTTATACAACTTGCCCTTCAGCTTACATTGGTAAGTGGCGATCACATAAAATTCCGGTTGCACATGCCCAGTTCACCCACCTAACTCTAATTCTATGTACGTCATCTTCCCCAATCTCTCCATTTTTGTGGATTATCAACCCAAGATATCGAAAATGCACTCTTTTTGGTATTTCTTGGAAGTCAATGTTAGCTAATTCCTCGTCTCTACTCCTATCCTTATTAAACTTGCATTCCATAACATAAATTAAACAATTATATGCATATTTATGTGTTTGGAGTTTGTCGTTTAGGCACCTTGAACTCAATGCCCACCAAGCACCTAGGAGCACAAATCCCACCCCAAAAAAAAAAAACAAAAAAGGAAAAAAGGGGAAAAAAAATCAAAAAGAAAATGCCAACACCGCCTAGCCCTTTTTTCACGTTTGTTAGATGTGATCAAAATCATTTCCTTTTCTTTTCTTTTCTTTTGCTAAATTGTTAATCTGGTGTTCTTAAGATCATTCAAAAGCTTGGGATCAACAAATCCATCTTGGATGGTCTTCTTGAGGGCGGCATACAGAAAAATTGAAGTATGCAGAAATCTCATTTGGATAGTCCTTTTGAGGGTGGCATTGGGGTGGCATGCAACACGCACAATGTGGGGCATATTTCATAGATCATTGCCAATAAATATTTTATATTGCAATTCAAAAAGATGTCTATATGTTTAAACAACAATTACCGGAACCCACTTAAGACACGGAACATAAAATCACATGCATCAATCAAACACTTCCTTTCCCCTCTGCATAACAATGATCCACCAAAAATTATTTAAATATGAAGAAAACAAAGGACCAACACAGTACCTTCACATTATCTACACTTTCAACCATGTCTAGGTTTGGCACGCTAGCTGCACATCAGAAAGGAAGGGCATTAAAACAAAGCCCATCAGTGGCTCTTTCATTGGAAAGATAATTAGAAAAATAGAATGACGAAACACAAATGTAATCGAACTACTGCTCACAAGAAATACATATTGTTGCATACATTGAGTTAATGTTTACATTTAAATAAGTAAAAAAATATTAAACCTTCACATTCCAAATTACAACTTAATAAAGTGAAAGTGACGTGATCTATTAGGAAAATCCCAATATAATCATAATTCACGAGTGCCGATTAACACATACAAATCCCAACGTAATCATAATCCAAGTGTGCCGATTAGCACATAGAAGAAGAGACGCTCAATCTTATAACAGTAAAGTTAAGTTTTTGTTTGACACATGGCCCAGTTAGGCCAAGGTTTGACATTCAATTTCTTTGTTTTTTGATAAAAGTTAACTATATTGCTATAAAGGGAGATTTACAGAGGTTTTTAAACCGAGAGTCCCTCTGCAGTGGGACTCTCCAAAAAATTGTCCAGCAACCCTATACAAAATTGGTTAGATGGACTGCCCAAGGTGATACAAGATATACAATGAGTATACAAAAATGGACTTATGGTATTGCCCCTTTACACAGAGTCTATGTGATGCAAGTCAAAAAATAGTTGGCCGAGGACTGCTACTCCCTGGTCCCTCCGTGGTCAAGGTCAAAGATGGCATGTGACCCGGCGAGTTCTTCAGTGTGGGCCCTAGCCCCGTCCTTTGCTAGAAGATCAGCTAAGCCGTTTGGCGTCCTCAAGGTATGCGTCCAAGAGACATCCATATCCCTGCAAATATCAGTGATCTCATAAAAAATAGGAGCAAGACACCATGGGGGAGATCCTCTCCCAGATGCGCATGAAATGATATTACTAGCATCCCCTTCCACAACAAGGTTTTGTCCCCAAGACGGATTGAAGGTTTTCAAGCCCAATAGAAGGGCCTTCACCTTAGCATACTGAGAATCTTGAATGCCAAGGTATTTGGAACACGTAAACAAAATTGCCCAATGATGGTCCCTGAACACTCCTCCCGCCCCGGCATGAACCAAGGTTCCACCCGTCAAAGTTGAGTTTAATAATACCTAGAGGGAGAGGTTGCCAGTTCTGAGATCTTTGGGCCTTGTGGGGACGATGGAGCATAATATTCTTCCAGTTGTAGAGGAAAGAGTTGGCAGGGAACCCTGAGAAGATACAATGATTGGAAGACCATAAAGTTACTAAGGACGTAACTTTGCGCAACAAGGCTGTACCTTCGGTAGCTTTTCCTTGGAAAATCCTAGAATTTCTCTCATTCCATAGTGTCCAAACGATTGCTGCCACAGCAGCCTTCCATAGTGTTCTACAAGCCAACAGCCAGTGTGAAACATGGTAGAAAGATAGCAAATCCTTGACTGTCGCAAGTATAACCCATTGAACTCCACAACGCTGCAACAATTGATCCCAGATACCATGGGTCATGTTGCAGTGAAGGAAGAGATGGGGGTTCGATTCTTCTCGCACAGACACAAGGCACATCTATTGGGAATGGGAATCCCTCTTTTTTTGGGGGGTACGATTGTAGACCACACCTTAAATAACACCGAAGGGGGGTTGAGAGGGAAAGTGGGTGGTTGTATCAGTCTTCTGTAAAAAGATGCAACAGTGAAAGTACCGGAGGGAGTGAGGAGTGAGAGACCAAATCAGCTAATCCCACCCATGTGTTGCTAAGAAGGAGTTATGAAGGGTTGCGGATAGAGAAAGAAAGTGTGACGTTTCCTCATCTGATAGATTCCTTCTGAAAGACGGGTTCCACACCCTTCGGTTTCCCACCACTGCCATTGCTTCTACGACTGTAGCTTCTTTGTTCAGGGCTATGGAGTAGAGAAGGGTACAGGACCGAGCCAAGTATTCGACCAGAAGCGTACTCTTGTACCCTCCCTTGAGTAGAAACGAATGAAATTCCTGAAGAAAGAAAGGGAAGAAGTGAAAGATCTCCACGTTCCTGAGGCCTTGTTGAGATTTCTCAAATCTGACTCCCAAGTTCGGCCATCTTATATTTATGGTGCAGAACTCAAACCCAAAGGGAATCAGTCTGGGTTGCGAGACGCCACCACCATTTACTTAGGAGGGCTCGGTTATGTTTTCTAAGGATCCTAATCCCTAGGCCCCCCTGTTGCTTTGGTAGGCAAACTTTATCCCAAGAAATCAAGTGGAACTTATATTTCTCTGCTTGGCCCGACCACAGAAAGTTTCTCATTAGCTGTTCCAGCCGGTTTGCCACAAAGACTGGCATTTGGAAAAGTGACATAAGGTAAACCGGAGCGTTGGCTAGAGTTGCTTTAATAAGAGTAGTGCAACCTGCCTGAGAGAGGTATCTTCCTTTCCAACCCGCCAAGCGCCAGTCAACTTTGTCAATAACGTGTGACCAATGCCTCTTTTTAGGTTTTCCAAGGCCTAAAGGCAAACCTAGGTACCTTGTGGGGAGATCCTCCACTTTGCAATCCCATGACGGAATCAGATTCCTAATTTCAGCATTGGAGATGTGAACCCTCATCATTTTAGATTTTTCCATATTGACTTTGAAACCCGTGGCCTCTTGGAAGCATTTGAGATACAATCTCAAATACTTAACTTCTTGTGGGGAGGCATCTAAGAATACCAGTGTGTCATTTGCGTATTGTAGATGGGACAAAACAGGGCCTCAAGAAGAGGTTTGTAAGCCCGATAGGAGACCTGCTTGGAAAAGGTGAGAAATGGAACCGTTGAAGACTTTTGCCGAAATAGTAGAAAGAAATGGGGACAGAGGGTTCCCTTAGCGTAATCCCCTCGAGGAGGGGGAAAAGCCTTTAGGGGAGCCATTAATAAGGATCGAGAAGTAGGGGTTAGAAAGGCAACCTCTCATCCAATTTCTCCATCGCATGTTGAACCCCATTCTTCTCATAACCTCATTCAGGAGGGACCCATCTACATGGGCATAGGCTTTCTCGCAGTCAATTTTAAAGATGAGCCTCGGCGTTTTGGACAGGTGCCTGGAATGAATGCTCTCGTGGGCTAGTAAAGCTCAATCTAGGATTTGTCTGTCTTTGATGAAAGCAGATTGGGATTGAGAGATGAGGGATGGGAGGACCTGTTGCAGCCTTAAGGCCAGAAAATTGGCCACAATTTTGTAAGAGGAATTTAGCAAGCTTATAAGCCGGAAGCCCTTAAGATCCTCGGCCCCTTCCACCTTTGGTACTAGGGCTATGAAAGTGGCATTGATAGCCTTATGTAAGATACCCCAGTGGAAAAACTCTTCGAAGAAACTCAGAAAATCTGAGCATAAAGTTTTCCAGAATATTTTGAAAGGGGCTAAGGGGAAACCGTCAGGACCAGGGGCTTCGTCACTGGGTAAGTCTTCCAAGGCTTTAAGAATTTCCTCTTCTTGGAATGGTCTCTCAAGCCATAGAGCACGGGCATCCATAAGAGAGTGGAAATCCAAGTTAGCCATAACAGGTCTGGGGCCTAAAGGGGCAAAGTAGAGAGCTTGGAAGTAATTAAGAATAGCTAGTTCAATTTCATTAGGCTGAACCAGTTAGGAATTATTCACTTTGATGGTGGAAATAGTATTCTCTCCCCTACGACAATTTGCTATCTGGTGAAAGAACTGAGTGTTCAGGTCACCAGCTTTAAGCCATTTAACTTTAGATCTCTGAAACCAGTACATTTCTTCTTTTTTGAGAGTGGAGAAGTAGTCCAACTTCAATTGGCTCCTCAAATCGAATTCAGTATCTTTCAAGGGTTGTGACTCCTCTGCACTGTCAAGGAGGGAAGCCTTGGTTTGGCTGTAATTCCCAGGGATGGATTTACTCCAACTCTTCAAAGAAGCTTTAAGTCGTTGAATTTTGATTTGGAGGCGGAAACTTGCTCTGCTCGAGACCTGGCTAGGAGTTCCACCAGGCAAGAATGAGAGTGGGAAGAGACTTATCTTCTAGCCAGGCTAGTTCAAAACGAAAGGGTTTTGGGCCTCGACAAAAGGCATGAGTCTTGAGAAGAATAGGGCAGTGGTCGGAGCTGGGTTTGGCCAGGGCTATGGCATGGGAACCCGGGAAGGTTTCATCCCAGTTCACCGAAAAAAGACGAGGACGGAGAGCAGCTAAGCAGGGGCTGTAGACAGCTGAGAATTTTCGAAGTAGCCCATCGAAAACACGAGAAAGAAGAAGAGACACAGTGAAGTCCCCTATATGGGAGGAGACAAGGGAATGTTCAGAGGGATTCCAGATCACCCAGATACCCCCTGAAACCCCATCTACAGGTAACACCACCCATTGACAGGGCCTACGACCCTAGACTTGACGAATCTGAGATAGGGAGGGCTTAGGAAGCTTGGTTTCAATAAGAGCCATGATAGCTAGGAGAGGTTTCGAGGCCTCATCCTTGACTGCATTCCTCTTTGAAGAGTGACCCAGTCCTCTAATGTTCTAAGAAGTGAGCTTCATTAATTAGGAGAGGGAGGAGGAGGAGGGGCTAGTCTAGGCGATCTCCTAACGGAGGACGAGGAGGCAGGGGGCGGGAGGTGAGCTAGGGGGGGTTGTCATAAGAGATAGAGGAGAACAAGTTGAGGAGTTCTCTTTGTCCTTTAGTGCTCACCTTGAGTCGACTCTGAGCCTCCGATTGAAGGAAACAGTGCGCAGGACCTTCAGGACCTTCGTATTGGAAACCCATAATACGATAGATCTCTTTCATTCTAGCTAACTCCTTGTCGTTCCCATCCCGTCGACCCCCTTGGCTCTGTCCCTGACCAAGGGGGGAGAGATGGGAGAATCATTGTCTTTCGAAAGCTTCCCATCCCCGTCGACCCCCTCAGCAATGTCCCCAGCCGAAGGGTAAGAGATAAGAGCAACCTGTTATTCAGGAGGCTTATGATCTTGGGAGATTCCATCCCCATCAACCCTCTCTGCGCTGACCACTGAGAGGGGAGAGATGGACACTTCACAAGCCTCAAGCGAATCCGAAAGCTGCACCAA